GGGGACCACCACCACATACCTATAAGAAATGAATTAGAAAATATCGATTAGCATTTAGTGTATATAGGTAGGTGCAAGCATTTTTTTTATACACTTTTCTATCCAAAGTTGTATCGCGTGCTATATCATACTGTTAATGGATAATACCGTCGTGTAATGAATTGTGTGATTTAAATGGCCGCCGTGAGATCAAAATTGCGTTTCCTTATTATATTCGCGAGTGCTTGTAGGAGTGAAATATAATATATTATAACGCTTGGGAATTCGTACGCCGACCTCATGAATTTATTTATTTTTGAAGTCTTTGCAAAGTGGCCTCTTTAATAGGAACTATTTTAAATTATAATCATTGTATAGTAGTAGGTACCTTATTAATTCTTTCGTCGTATATATTAAACCAATGTATATACATCAGAAACAACGTATTTGCGGTGAGATGAAAATACGCATCACATTCTATCGGTTGATGGATGGCACGAATCTGTTGCGATTACCCGAGATAGCTTCAAAACTTTGATTTATTCTTTTACAAATACGAAAGTAAATTTTAAAAATAAATATTATTAGCTGTATCAGTATGAGTAAATGTTTTAAATACTCGATTCGTATTGTTATTGTGTTTATGTTTTTAATAATTTGAGGTATTCGACGAATTTTTAATAAAAATTCGTTTTTATTTGCTTTTAAAAATTAATACATATTTATACGGTTGAAATAAAGAAATAATATTATTATTTAGGCCAAAAATAATTGGAAATTATAATTATTAACTTTGTATACCTATTTTATCTCTTTCACGGATGTATTTAACTTTGTAATTGTTGAGATATGATAATCTGCATTGAGTATTTCCTTAGGAAAAAAAAAATCATAGAGACAATGTCATTATACTTTCTAACAATCAGAAATTAGAAATTATACAGTTTTTATCAATTTTCTTTTGCTATACAAACTTGCTATTATCTTCTTTTTATGTTCTTAATAAATAATATTCCTTTTTCGTTATTAGCTTTAAAGATTTAAAACTCAAATACCCTGACATTGATTTGGATTAAAATTTAAGAGTTTTAACTTTAAGTTTATGCTGTCAACAAATAACGCGTCTTAATACATCGATCGTAACATAAAGAGACAATATTCTAATACTGACGACAAATTTGTATGTCATTAGACGATAGTATTCCAAAGTTTTTCATGTTACAAGTATCCTCGAAATTAAGGACTCCGTTTTTAAGCAGCCAAATACACCGTTATACGCAATGCGTGACAAATTAATCGAATACCAACGATAGTCGAAAATAAAATGTACTTACCCAAGAAACTGAGTAATTTGTGTATACAAAAGAAGAATGTTAAGTAAGAAATGTTTTAAACATTTATAACTCACAAGATAGTTTGATTCGTTTTTTGATAAAGTTTTTTATTCTTAAATAATAACCGTAATTAATTTTAGCTTTTTCAAATTAGGAAAATTAGGTAACGATTATATAACTATACCTGCATAAAAGACTGTTATATATTAAGTAAAACATATAACGTTCCTAATATTACGCTGTTTTGTAAGCACATGTGATTAGAGTTCAACTATACCCCGTGGGATAATTGAAACTATTTAGTCCATAGGAAAATAGAATTCATCAGTAAGCTAATTTCAATTAATTCGATCAAACTATTGAGTTTTATTAAACACAAATCTAAGTAATAAAAGTGATTTAGTTTAATTCAAATAATGATTTAGTACCTAATGAAATTTAAATGTATTTAATCAAATATAAATGTTGTTTCAAAAACATTTTACAGACAGCTAAAAAAATTAAGACAAGAAATAACAACTTTAAAAAACTTAAATTTACGGACTTATGCAGACCTTGCGTACCCTCGAAACACTATTATAAAGGCTATAATAGACGTTAGAAAAAAAATTGTACAAGTTAGTTCGTCTAGATTTTCTTAATCTAACGATAAATTAGTACTTAATTTTGTTGTTGTTATTAATTTACTAGAATAGTTGTTTACATTTTTTTCAGCTTATAAACAACCGTGCAGGTATTACAATTAACTAACTACCAATGGAAAGTGTAATTATGTGTCTTTTTTTGTTAAATCGTTTTATAATAATTTGTGTGATAGTTAAAAATATTATAATTCGGAGTCGAATACCGAAAATTGATATGATACGATTTATACTTTTTAGTGCAGTTAATTGAATTGTCTTGATATCTGCTGATCCTATTTTTAATTGTTGAGTTCATTGTAATAGGTATAGATGAAAAATAGCGAGTGAAAAACCTGATTTATTACATTCCGTGTAATATTGGACTATTATGACAAAAATAGTGTCAATACTATCTGTATCTGATCAAAGGTCATTATTGTAGATGACATTTTTATAATATTTGTTGCCCCTTTGACATTTCCGTTATGATGGTTTTGACGTAATATGTTATTGTTCCCTTTCATTTTTCTCCGTATAAATATTTTAAATTAAATTAAAACCTTTTTAACAGATTCTGGAGTTTTGAGAAATAACTTAAAATATGCCAGCAAATTCTTACGAAAATACCGAAAATGTATGTACGATGGGTTGAATCTTGAATAGCATCAAATATATAATATTACTCTATATGTACACCTATTAATTACACTTGTATAAGAGTATAAGACATTACGATATTGGTACTTACTGAACAATTCGTGGTTTGACGCGATGAAGCATCGAATAGTCAACTTTTAAATGTTTTTTTGGAAAATCCGATGATCAAAGACATCTAAATACCTTATGAGTAAGGTACATGGAGGTGTATCCTACATTATTGTACGCACATAAATCAACACACTCATCAAAAACACAGCTCGAAGTTGAGTGTTTAAATAAATATAGGTAGGTTTAGCGCATTTAATGGACATAATATGCTTTACACAAGGGTAACGATTTTAGGAGAATATTTTTTTCATCATCAATGCATTTTTCCGTCGAACTCTTACAACTCTTTGAAGTGATTATTTTCGAAAACGAGCGAAAACAAATACCGAAATTTCGATCGTAAAATATTTTAGTATTTGCTTTAAGCTCAACTTTGTACAGGACCCAACGGCACATCGGTAAAGGGTACATTATAATATCATATCATGTTAAACACGAAAACAAACAACGGCGGTAGCTGCGGGAAAACCGCGCGAAACACACCAACAATAATGATAATATAATAGTAGGGAGGTACGTAGTAATATGTACGCTCGTACGACGTAGGTACCTATCTGTATAGCTGCTATTCCGAGGGGCCGTTCCAAAGTTTTGGATGAGACGCGAGTCGGCGGCGGTTGGGAGGGTTATCGCACGCGTCATCGCTCTGTCATTTCGGGGTTTCGGACGAATTCGCTCGTATATTTATACTTACTACTACTTATACACACGTGTACCCGATATTGTATATTATTTACCTGTACTCCGCCGCGGCTATGTTGTTATACCTGTTATTATTCGGTGCCTCTATGTGTATTGTTGTGTACATGTAATAATAATAATAATAATAATAAACGTAAGTCACTGCTGATAACAGATTCATCGTCGATTTCCACGATCAAATAATATAATAATATGTGTACCTCCTATACCCACACACCGACGTTGTACGGAGTGGGTACTATGATGCTGCCAAACGCTCCGACCGCGACGCGGGGTCGGAGTCCTCGTCATTCCTGCGGCGGCGGTGGGCACACGCCAGTCAACAGCAGCAAAAGCAGCACCAGTTGTGAGTCCTGTGAGTGACAAACGATCCACGTCCTCCTTTACCTCCACCACTGCCCGTATTATACATGTCATACTGCACACACACACACACACACACACACACACACACACACACACACACATTTTACACGTACACCGGCGATACGACGACTTCTAAGGACTATTTATCCGACCGTCCTCACCCTGCGCCCGGGACCTGCCGCGCGGGTATTTACGGCGTATACCTACTCGCGTTATTATATTATTATTCCTTGGCGAAAACAGATTTTGAAAACGCAACGGCGATAAAACAATGTCCAGCGATATATTTCATCGACGACGCAAATGCGTTCTGCAGACGTTTGTCGGCGAAAAATATTCGCAGAAACGTCCGTTCTCAGCTCAATCGAATGTCCTCTCCGCCGCCGTCGCCACCCCTACCACAGACGCCGCATAGTCGCCGCCGCCGGACAACCGACAAACGAGCACTGCACCGAAATATTTACTGACGTAAAAATCAATCACTCGCCTTTTACAAATGATAACTATTATTATTATTATTATTATACGTATTTTACAAACCTTTGATACTCGCGCGTATTATAATTCGAATGATCGATGATTTGTTTAGATTCATTTTTATTTTTTTTTCACTCGCGACAATAAATCAGATTTTTACCAGTGCATAAATAACAAGTGTTTTCAACAGTCTGCAATCGTATATAATAATATACTAGTACTGTGTATATTATATAATATATTTGTATTATTCGGTCAGTTTGAATGTCAACGACGAACCCGAAACTGAAACTCTGAAATAAATGTTTAAACACTTTTCACTTTCTAAAACCCGAATATTCAAATTCTGTAGATGTTTACATCTCAGCTGTTGCAGTGTGTGTCGGAAATCTCCAAATAATAAATTACGACTCCGCCATTTTAAATGTGGTAATATTATTATATATAGGTATATATTTAAATTGGGTGGAAAATATGTGTCTGTAATTTATTGCCGAAATTATTCGTACAAATCCTCGGAACACAAAAGATATATTAGTATTATATAGCTACAAAAAATAAAGACAGTGACAAAATGATTAAATCTAGTAATTATATAATTATTTTCAAGTACCCATCTCGAAATTGAGTATGGACGTGTTATGGTATTTTTGTTTAACACGTTGTATAATTCTCCTCGGAGACTAAATAGTAAATATATACGTACATATAATAGATTCTAAATATTAATGTTCATGTTGATTTCAGTGACATGGTGATGGGTGAGGGTGACGGTGAAATGGAAGGCGGGGGTGGCGGGAACGACGAGTGTGTGGAAGACGGCGATGAAGAGTTAGTAGCAATGATGGGTCCACCTACAACATTTTGTGGTAATAACAAGTGCAAGAAAATCAGGAGACCTCTGCCACCCCGGGAGACGTGGAAGAAGAAAATCGAATTCTTGTTGGCGGTAGTCGGTTTTGCTGTCGATTTGGGAAATGTGTGGAGATTTCCTTACATCTGTTATCAGAACGGCGGAGGTAATATAATTTTTTGTTTTTATGTAGATTTAAGTTCTGAAATAGGTAGACCGATTACCTACTACTTTACCAGGTATATTAAGAATGATTTAGATGAATTGTTTCTATTTTAAACAACGAAGAGTCCAAACATAATCAAATATATGTATAATATACATTATAATATACATTATAAACTGAAACGTCTCCATGATCTTAATATACATTTCCATTGTACATTGAAATTGGATTTAAGGATTAGGTTCTTAATATTATGACTTTTCCTACAGAAGCGAAATTAAGTTTAAAATGGTTGTTACTTGCTATCAAAAACACTCGATTCGGTTTATGAGTTTCTTTTTTTTATTGAATAACTGCCTCGGTGAATATAGGGCCATCGGCTACAAGAAATTTAACATAATTATTACATTAAGGAATACATTGTTGCTCTAAATCAGTGTTTCTCAACCTTTTTTAAGTTACCGCCCCCTTGAGTGTCAAAAAATTTTTTAACGGCCCCTACAATGTGAGAATTCTATAATAAGGGTTAGGTTAAGGGTATTTGGAAAATTTAAAAGAAAAAATTGAAATTATCTAATAACTCATGTTTTTATTTATTTTTTATATTTGATATATTTTTTATTTATAGTTCTAGTATTATGGTAATCTACCACCCAAAATTAGTTCACCGCCCCCCTACCACCCAAAACTAGTTCATTGCCCCTCGGTGACATTTTACCGCCCACTGGGGGGCGATATTGCCCCCGTTGAGAACCACTGCTCTAAATAGAAACTTATAACCATATAGTGATAGAAAAAATATACATATAAAATTAATAGTAATACATTATAGGTGAATATATTTATAATACATAATATATGGATACATTTCTAAATTGTAATATGAAGTTCTATTATGAATTTTTTTTTTAAATTGAACTCAAGCCTGAAAACTTTGGCTGTTTTGTAGGTTTGTAGATTGTTGGTTTGTAGGAGGAGGAACGGTAAGTTTTTTCAACACGTGTGTTTTATATGAGTTTATTCAGACCTATTAATATATTTAGTAGGTACAGTAAGTTATTAAGCTCTTGGAAAGCAGTTATTGTTATTATTTTTATCGTCCTTGAATTAATTATGAGTTTTAAACAAGATAATTTCCAAGTTAATATAAGTTGAAAGTTCGACATAAAATTATTAAATATTTTAATTCTTATAGTTCATATTACGAAATAATATAATTTATATTAATATAAATGACATCATATATTATGTTCTACAACGCATTTTATTAAATTTTAGGTATTTAGACTATTTTTTAATTTTCGATTTTCAGTTATAGAGTATTATTAAAGTTTGATATTATTTGGAGTATTTGTATTGGTAAGGATAATTGTTTTGTTTTTATGAACTTTTAAATGTATTGAACAGTTATTTATCGGTTCATTTTGTATTATTTAACAATTTAATGATTTTAATTAGACTAGTCGTTTAAATTGATTGCGTTTAATCTATATCTTATAGTTATGTATAAAATAGAAATATTAAAATTATAAAACAACTTTTTGAGTCCATACCAAAGTTTGGTGTGAACTTCTGCCCTATTAAGAACGTACTGAATTAAACTTTAACCCTTAATTCCGGTTACCCTTCAAATCAAAAAAAAGACTATAAGCTTCTAACCCTCTAATTGATTTGTCAAATGAATCAATATTAAAACATTTGTCAAAAATACAAACATACTTTTGTTTTAACACCTAACTAATTTATGTTTTTTTTATACGAATATTGTATTAAATAAATAATACTGACTTTTAACGTTAAAATGGAATGTTGGTATTAAATGCATCTAGGGTTAGTCGTACAAAATAAGTCTCAGCTGTATGCATACCCATGTAAATGGATAATAATTACACGTGGTTATTATCAGTTTATTTGTTGTTCATGTTTATGTTTATTGTTAATTAATCTTGGTGATAGGTATAAAACGGTTTTAAGTTTATCAATTTCTTTTTTATTATGTCTAGACATGTAGTATTCGTACAATTTGCGCTGCGTGCTCAATCGACAATGTAAATTTTTTTTGGTACACTTAATTGATAAACCACTTTTTTAACAGGAAAACATGTACCCTCTTATACAATTATGAATTCGTTGTAAGCACTATTTTTCATTAAAATTAATAACTGTATTATGTAATAGTTAAAAAAAATATGGTTTCTGAAAATCTGACATAAATTCCCATTATTCGTCTACAAAAAAAGAAATAATTTTGATGAGGTAGTAAAGTAGATTTAAGTTGATAATAAGATATAAATGTTTAATTGATTGCAACTGTAGAAATATTAACAATTTATAATATCACTAAGAGAAATTATTGGTGAATTGTATACTTTGTAATTGTAGTAATAATAACTTTTTTTCTGGGTACCAGCAGACAGTAGTAAATACAAAATACATTAGTTATATCATGTTCTGTATAGGTTAACTGAACAATACCAGTTTTGACGTGATGTATGTCAAAAGTATAATTACTAGTTAGCCGAGGTTCCGAATTATTAATTATACTAATAAGTAATTTATTAATTTGATTCACGATTTGTTTCAGTTAGTAATTAACTTGTTATTATTATTCATCTACCTACATGTTAAATGTAAAAAAACAACATTAAAACGCAATGCATACATCCGTACATCCGTATTCCGCATAATAAGTGAATTAATTTAATAATTTAAAATGTTCGTTATGTTAGCAACAGCCAACAAGAGTACTAATAATTATAGTAGAACTTGGAATTACACTATTTAATATCAACTTGATAATATTTTAGTCGTGTGATGGATTTTCAGGTGTAAAGTAAACAATAGTTTACCCATACATTACGGACTACATAATATTCTTGTTCCGTATTATAACGTTTGCATAACAAGTTGATGAAATTCAATTTTTAGTGTATTTCTAATAATTGTAAGTTGATTATTCATTTATGTGCTACTATAATGATTGAAAAGTTTTATTCACTTTTCGTCGTTAATAAATGTAATGGGAACTTATTTTAATTAGAAACATTTGGAACTTCAAAAAAAAAAAAAAAACACCTATACGAGTATCAGTATTCAGTATTGTAATATTCTAATAATATATACATTATTTCACTAAAAAGTTCAATAATATGTTGTATAACGATTTAATTCACGTCTTGGGATGTGCAAAAAATATAATTTCAGCCAGATTTCCAGAAACTGCCTGTGCTTCAGAACCGATATTCATATTTAAATAATGTAATAAATCGATGTTATTTTCATGTGGTACTTTGTTCACGTGGCGAAATAAACATTGTTTAGACAATAAACTGATAATATATTATGTAGGTACACTTGTAGACGTTCAAAACTATTCGATGATAAATCTCAGAACGAACGCGGACGGAGTAATTGTTGTGAAATCAATTCACTTGGTATTTCCCGACGCGGTAAACCGCATCAATTCGCCCAACCCCATTACATTTAAAAGGAAATAATAGTGTTTCTGATGCTGCCGCTGTTTCCATTGTGACGGCGATGTGACTATAATATGTATTTCAGTATTTGAGATCTATACATATATGGCACATGACTCGGAGTTCTAAAGACCAAATGCACTTTCATCGTGTAATTCACACGTTGAATGTATAGTTCATAATCGGTTCAAGCAAGCTGGTTACTCTGTACGATGTATTGTTAAAAAAATGTGCAAAACGCCGACACTTTATAAGCGTTGCAGTTGTATAAAATTATACACTGAGACTGAGTGCATATTATATAGGTAGGTACGTTTGAGAAAAAACACCATTTGCAACATGCAACCATTTATCCTTAAACCTTAGGTACTAATACTATATAATAATAATGCATGTAATTTAATCGAATTCATTAATGTTCATTAATGTTGTAATGTCGTAATAAAAATATTAAAAAATTAAGTTATAAATACAGATGATTTAGAAATGAAAAAAATGTGTTTCCACTTATCAATATGACATGCAGGCTGCTGGGCTTTAAAATTATTGTAGTAAAGTGTATAAATTACAATTGATTTTGTGATAAATATATGGTTATGTTCTCATCATTATTAAACAAATATTTTATAATTTAATTCACTTGATTATAGGTGCGTTTCTTATACCGTACGTGGTGATGTTGGTGTTTGGTGGCTTGCCTTTGTTTTACATGGAATTGGCACTGGGACAGTTCCATCGATGTGGATGTCTCACAGTGTGGAAGAAGATTTGCCCGGCTCTTAAAGGTAGGGTATTTAAATTTTCACATTTTCAAAAGCAACTCGTGGAATGCTTTGAACGCGTGCAGTAATGGAATGTTCTACAACGAAACAATTTGCTTGGAGAATTATCAATTTAGAAATAGGGGCAGCCAGCAATAATGCACGTCTTAAATCAATGGCGAAAGAGGAGAGAAACCGGGGAAAAAAATAAAAAGGTTTCAAGAATCGAAAATACTTAGGATGAATATCCAGTCTTTTATGATAATTGAAAGATGATCTGTTGTATTGGTCGGAACTTTTGTTTTTTATTCTCTTGTTTTCAGTTGCATTAACAGTAGCTGCACAAAAGAGTAACTAGGAAATTAAAAAATAAAGGCACAAAATAAAGAAAAGAGAATACAAGGACGTCGGGAGAGAACGAAAAACAATTGATTCCTGAGAGCATTTTCAAGTCTACGACAAACATCGAGCCTTTGAATTATACATTAAATGCAAAAACGTGAAACAAATAAAACTGTAGAGCTTATTTAAAACGGCGCGGCATCGAGTAATAAATTATTGGCCAATAGGGAAATATTATATGGTTGCTTCAAATATTTGGTTACTTTACTATGTTGTTTGTATTCGTTTAGTTTTTTTCCTCTGTAATATCCCTAGTAAGAGTCTTTCAATAGCCATTGTATTCGGAGTTCCAATAATTGAAAAAGAGAAATACATTCTCTCCAAAACACCTGAACAAACAACCTGCTTGTAAATACAACTGAGACATATTTTAAAATATTGATAAAATTAATCTTAGCATTGGTTGTTAATTTGTTATTGACAATTTAATGATCTTAAAATAAAGATTTTATTTTGTATGGCTCACGCAGTGATATTTTATACGAGTTGTTCGTTATGATTATATTTCATAGTTGTATGATTTAAATCGTAAACAGTATAATACCTAATACGTCGGCAGTTAATTTTACTGACTATAGTTCACATTTTATTATATTGTTGTCTGGAATTCTGATCGACATTACTCAAATATTTAAATAGACAAAATACAGATAGGTAAATAACAAAATGTTGTCCCCTCTGATCTCTATTATTACGATGGATACGACGAGGGAGTTTTCCTATTTTAGCCTTAATAAATATACTTAGTTTCTCGTTTAAATATGTTTACAGCTATAGGCTATTGAAATAAAAAGATAAAGATTTGCCTTATCAAAAATATCTGCTTTACGAATTATTTATACTTATGCATATTTAAATAATTTTATAGTTAACAGACGTGTAAACCTATGTCTGCCTACTATGATATTATCCGAATTGTCTTTATCGAAGTCATTTAAAGTAGTCAAGAGAATGATTTACAGTACATTTTTTTAACTGCAGAGGGAGCATTCCTTTAGGAATTATAAATAATTATTAATTATTATATACTGCAATTTAATTCATAATTGTATTAAACGATTACTTTTGTGTAGTGGTCTTTGGGTCAAATCAATTCACAAATTCGGTCTAATCGATGGGGACGTGTGATTGTGTAAATATAAATAAAATAAAAATATATTTAAATTTGTTTTGAATTCCTGCATAATATAACTATACGACGAGAAAAAAACCAAACAGTGATTTCGGAACACGTGGGTCTCTGACCTTTAGCAATTTTCCATTGTCAATATTGACGTTCGCTCTATATAACGTCTGTTTTGTACATTATGACCGTCACGACCGTCATCGTCGTGGTGTTAGCGATCGACTGCTGCTGCAGCGCATACCCTCCCGACAAATATTTGCACGCCCTCACTTGAGCCATGATAGCGCTTAACGTTATAGTCAAAACGATATTACAGTTTTGGCGAAGCGGTCGCTGGTGTGAGACAAAAACTAACAACATAATATATAATTAAACAGCAGCAAACAGCTTTATAATGCGCCATCGCGGCGGCCGCCCCCTGTAAACAGCTAGTCGACAATTCCTCAGGGTTTCAAAAAAAAAAAAAAAAGGAAATCGGGTTTGTTTTATTGTAATACATTTTTTTCTCGTGTTTCCTTCTTCTCGATTTCCTCTCGCATCATTATATCGTGTCCTCTGCTACATGTCCGTACGTGATTTTTGCTGGGCAGAGGTGCAAACGTGCGTTGTCGGTAGCACGAGACAAAGTAATGATTTGGCCAATAATGAAAAAAATATCACTTTAGTTGTACATGGGTTTTTGCCGATTTTATTCCGATCATCAATTTTTGCCTTTCCACGTTAGCAAACCGTATCCTAGCGATTTATACGATACTCGCAGCACCGACAAAAATATAGTACCAATATACTTACGGGCTACGACGTATGGTATAATGACAGTCGGATTTCAAAAAAAAAAAAACTTTACGGACGTGTTAAAACACTTTTAGCGTTAATTTACTCTATCGTTTTGATAGGATGTACTAAGGGCACCACGTCAGTCTGGTTTTCAGACTAATTGATGATTATTTCTATCGGAAAATATTTTAACTTTAGTTAACGACATGCCCTCTGATATTTTAGTTAATATTGTTAATTCACCTTTCACTTGTAAAAATATAAAAATATACTATTTTGTTGTGTCATTTGGGTTTTTTTTTGGCTTATATTTCTGATGGCACTCTTGTTATGAGCTATACTCTAAATTAAAATCATTTACCAAATGTAAAAATATGCAAGCTCGTAATAGAAACTAAGTTTTGATAAAATTGTTCTAAATAGCGATATTCGTGGTGTTACGTCACCTGTAGTTTCACGTCCAATGCAAAAACATGTTTTTATAGTCATGCAGCTCTAAACCTGCATAATTATAATATAATTTACAGTCTTACAGATCTAGTTTTTATTACATGCACAATTAGTAGCTGAGCCACGATGATTTTGATCGAAATCAAATGTTTAAACACAGCCATATATACTATTCCTTTTTTCATTTGAAGACATTTTCAATTTGTACAAATTCAGTTAATTTTTGGTTAATACAAAGCGTTAAACACTTTACCCTGTTTCTATTTCGTTCCTATTGCGTTTGAAAGTCGTACATACATTTTAGGTGTATACTTTAAAATAGGTCACTTTTAAGGATTTAAATACCCAATGAAACAAATATTGGAAAAAAACAAGACAATAATAAAGAATTACCAAGTACCTAAACACCATTCATTTAAAAAAAAAAAAAACTTTTCTGTTTTTCTATTAACCAGTGAGGTATGATCAGAATCACTTTTAAGATGAAATGATTTATCATCGCTTTTAAATTTAAAGACATACGCCTCAGTTGCAGTGGAATTCAAATCCTGTAAAAAACTTTTTGAAAATTATGCAGTTTATAACTAAAAAAAACTTTTTTATTCTTAAGAATGTTAAAAAGTTTCGTGCTTATAATAATATATCATAGAATCTATCAAGCTTTTGATATCTTATTTCTCGACTGGATAATATATACACTCAATTATTTATTGAAAAGATATGAATCCAAAAAACGACTAAAATCACCGAAATACAGATTTTTTTATAAAGGAATAATGTAGGCAGTAAAATTTGTTGAACTTCTCACGGAATTTTTTAGACCAAGTAAATCTTGATTTAATGACGTTTGGTAGATAAGCTATAATTATTATCAATGGCCTATCGATCTTATTCGGAACGATTTAATTCAAGACCTGCGGTCCAACCATCTATTTAGTCACGTGGCATCTGTTGTTTTACGTTTCCTACCCATTCAGCAGGTGTTGTGTAATCCATTTTATACCCTTCTAAACCCTTCATAATGACTCAATAAAATCACTTTAAGGATTACGCACTATCCATAATAATAAGTAACAACAGTGTTTTAGAAATGCTGTTAGTTCGATTCGGGGGTTAAATCCGCACGTGAATATACTCGTAAACATATTATTATTTTTAGTTTATAACTGTTACATGAAAAAAAAAATGTAATATTTAATCAAAAGTTAATTAAAATCATATAACAGTATTAAATCACTTAGTAAATAGTATATATTCCTATAAACTTAAGTTTTTTACAGATTATTTATTTTTTTGATTCTTAAATAATTCGGTACACAGATTTTAAACTATTATAAGTTATGGCACAATTATAATTGTGTTTTTAAATTTTGTATTTTTGCTTCTCTGACTTTCTTTGGATTATGTATTCACATGAATTTTATTAAATATACAGTATACATTACGATGTTTAGGTGACCTAATGAATTATTTTACATAGATAAAGCATCGTTACATATAGATTGTTATTTACAGTAATAATATTTACTATTTTAACAGATATATATATATTACGGTTTTTTTTCGATATTATTGCTTTTAAATTGATGATACTTATATTGACGCGAAGTTTTTGTTATATCCTTACTGTTATGTTGATTAAATAGATTTTTTTATACTAAAAGGTAATAATAAAAATTAGCTATTTAATAATAAGTGCTTATTATATCTATATGGATTTATTAATAATTATTAATTATTATAATATTGTAATTTTAAATTTTAATATGATATTTTCATCAATATCGTACGGTTTAATTTTAATTTGAGATAAATAAAAGTGAGGGTTGGATAAATTTAATTTTGATTCCTATGTTAGATTTTTTAGACTTTTGTTTGGTTTTTTGGTCCAGTTAGCTCGTTATAAATAATTTTAGACTTTAAGAAGGCAAATTGTTTTAAAAACCCTTTTAAACAAATAGATCAAAGTATAACAGGTGGTGTACAACATTTGGGTTTAAGTGTTTAGTAACACTAATACGTATTCAAAATGAACATATTACAATGGCATTTTCATAGCGTTTGAATAATCGTTAGTTCAAATTTGTAATTTTTAGTTTAAACATTTAGAACGATTATTGCTAGGTAATTATTTTAAGTCCTGTTGAAAGGATTAGTGTGAAATTCAAAATTAATATAGTATTGCAAGGTGAATGAAACACTTTCGTGTAATTTAGACATTTGAAAAATTCTGTTCTTTTTTAATATCTGCTTTAATATCCTCATCATATTTTTGAAAATTATTTAAAATTTGAATAAAAAATATTAAAATTCTGAATATTAGTAATTAATGGGTTTCTCTTATATTGACAGTGAAAGAATTGAGGGTTTTCTTTCACTTTATATTTCAATGTAATAATCACGTTTACTAATTTATATATAATTTTTTTTCTTCAAGTTTGAACTTTCTTAATAGTTAATACATTTTAATATAAATAGCTGGTCTATTTAAGAGGAAACATCAGTTATTGAGTCATGGAGTTTCGTTCAAAATACGGAATCGAATAAATGTCGTGAATTAAACTGACGATACCATTTAGGCGCGTAATTCAATCTTTAAGTCATATTTTCGAACGCTCGTCGTATACATTAATTCGCTACTATAGCGGAGGCGGCCGTATCTCCTGTGTTTACCTAATAAGTATTTGCAATTAATGATACTATTCACAAACAAGTCCCCTATAACGAATACAGCGAGACAGCTATATCGGCCTGCTGGAGATGTCAATTTGAAACATTGTTCGAAAAATCGATCAAAATTGAATTCCGCCATGCAGCTATATATATGCTGCGTATAACTTCATCGTGGCGCATGTGAATTATTAGCGCAGTAGGTCTCACTTTTAACGTTGAATTTCATACCTATTATTATTTACACCGACCGTCGTTTCAGTACACACTTTGAAACGTATATCGTAGTGTTCTATACATAGCAGTCATTTTTCGAAAATGTAAATAACAGTTAATACTTATTGATTACACGCGGAATATTATTAAGCGCAGGCACTACAACTTACTGTAGTGTGTACCTATATATAAATATGAAGCAGTGAAAACGCGCGTGAAACGGCAGATCCTTCCTTTTCTCGCCGGATTTATGTCCTGACGCGATATTTTAATTTCGACATTCCGTGTGACAATAATAGCAAAATATAGGGTGGGGAGTGTGAAACGTTTTTTTTCTTCATAGTATTAAAAAGCTATTTTTATGTATGAAATTATTATAATGGGCTAAAGTAGGTTATGGGAGTGATAAAATTGTCAAAATATTTGAAACCTTCGAGGTGAATTCGGCATTGGTCTTGGCGAGAGGGGCGAACTTACATAATATTTTACATTTCTAGTTGTATTTTCTTGTATTTTGTCTATATTAATTGTGTTAAATTCAAATGTCTTTATTAATTAATCTAATCATTTTATACATTGTTATTTGTTACGATGTATATGTAGCATAATATGTATAGACTTAGTTTCAGTATTATTTTATCCCTTTCGGAAATTGTTGTGATTTATTATTGACCTTATCTCACGAAATACATTATCATTATATTTTACATATTTACTGAAGATTGAACTTGATATCAGGTATAGGTTTTTTGCGATTTATACAAAATGTTAGTTATGTTTCTGTGTTTCAAATAAATGAAACCGACACAAATATATTACATTGGCCATCGATAATGTACATTAATACGGCAATGAATATGAAGAGACGATGATTGTGCAGTTGTATAGATGAGTCATTAATCTATCACTGGTGTAGGTACTTTATAGGTGTAACAAGCTCAATACTTGTGTTATTTTGATTACTCGTTGAAACATTTTTTTTTAAAATTGTAATCATATTATTGAGTTGCAAACAAAAACATCGAAATAAAGGTTTTGCCGATTAAGACAAGGTATATAATACTTAAATTTTCCATACTAACGGTTTTCAGAAACTTGACATTAGGAAAATCTGTCTTTATTAAATATTATACTGACGTTATTTCTCTGAACAGGTGTTGGATATGCGATATGCCTGATCGACATGTACATGGGCATGTACTATAACACAGTGATCAGTTGGGCCCTATATTATCTGTTTTCGTCGATGAGATCCGAACTGCCCTGGACCAGTTGCGACAACCCGTGGAACACGTTGAACTGCACTCCGGTGACCAATTTATCGGCATTAACCAATGTTTCGACGAGTCCGGCTAAAGAATTTTTCGAGTAACCTAATATTTACTTTCGTTAAACTCAATAATAATAATATTGGATTATCGTTGTTTATAATTATAATGTTGAATGTTAAACCTTACACAACATATTATGCGGGGCACGCACGTCCAAGAATACCTGTCGCCTTTCGCCCTGTATCTATTTTATAATTTTAGGTGTGTACTCATAATATATAGTGCATAATGTGTGAATACCATTCGCAGGAGGAGCGTTTTGGAACAACATAGAGCCGATGGGTTGGATAGAATTGGCCCGATAAAATGGTCGTTGGCGTTGTGCTTGTTGGCTGTGTTCCTGTTGGTGTATTTCTCTTTGTGGAAGGGAGTGAGGAGCACGGGTATGGTAAGTACGTCATATATTATTATAATATATTGTGGTGGTGTTGTCTTTTAAAAATGTTTCACCGGAGCGCCCGCTCGGACGCAGATACAAACGACTGTTGATCCCGTCCCCGGCGGTCACCTCACGATTTGTGGTCTTTTATGTACCTACACCGTATATGTAGGCGCGTAAACGTATACATTACGCACCTATACTGTATAGTTTATTAGTTGCTGGGTTACAAAAAAAAAAAAATAAGAAAATAATAGAAAATAAAAGAAATTGAAAAAAAATACTAAGTGTAATAATATGTTTGCGCGAGCGTGGCGTGCAGTCAATCAGCCTAAGTAGTCGGCGTGGGACTTGTTATTATTATATATGCAGTGAGCTCGGTTCATTACCGATAAGTGTATGGTACGTGTAGAGAGGTATATGGTGTGTACTGTGTATAATACGGTGCGGTGTGGCTGTGGGGACGAAAAAGAATCTGTTATCGTATATTATGCTCACTGTTTTTAAAATCGTCTGCCCCTTATACGCGCCAGACTGACCGGCGACTAGAGAGAGATGGGGGAGAGAGAGTGCAGTGTGATTGAACGCCGTTTCGCATCCACTACTCCCTTTATTACTCGTGTTTTTATCTCTTTGACGTCTAATGAATTATAGATTGAACCGTTGTGTGGTGCGATTTCCACCCCCCCCCCCCTTGATTTTTCTCGGAGGGCCGGATCGGTCCCTAGACTTTTGATTAAATACGTCGGCTACCTATCGTATAATATTATCGCCACGGACGATAAACACTACTCACACGCCGACTATACCTATACTTGGCGGATCGAAAGACACGCGAACTGTATAACAATAATATTATGTATTCACTATAGCGTGTTTGTACCATATATGTGTGTAAAATGTATAGGTATATGTTGTGCATAAGTTATTATGTCGATGAATGAGACTGTGTTTTCTGTTCTTTGTTCAGGCCGTATGGGTAACGTCCCTCGCCCCGTACGTTGTATTGTTCATGTTGCTGTTTCAAGGCATCTCGTTACCGGGGGCAGGGGAGGGCATACGATACTACCTGACGCCGCAGTGGCACAAGCTCGTTAACACTAAGGTCAGTGTTGACTATTAATAATCGTAAATTATTTTTTCTCGTTTTCGTCCTTCATCTTATCGTCGGACGTATTTTTTAAAAATTTTTTGTCAACCAGGTATGGATAGACGCGGCGTCTCAAGTCTTCTTCTCGCTGGGCCCAGGATTCGGCACGCTTCTCGCCCTGTCCAGCTACAACAAGTTCAACAACAACTGTTATTGGGACGCCATACTGACCAGTTCGATAAACTTTCTCACCAGTTTCCTGGCCGGGTTCGTTATATTCACCATGCTCGGTTACATGGCACACGTACAAAACAAGAGTATATCCGAAGTGGGGACCGAAGGTAAGTCTCGGGATGTTAAGTCTTTAACGCATTGTTTACTTAATTTCTTTTGACTTACAGGACCGGGTTTGGTGTTCATCGTGTACCCGGAAGCGATCGCCATGATGACCGGTTCAGTCATGTGGGCACTGATATTCTTTTTGTTACTCATCACATTAGGTATTAATATGATTTTAAATTTAGTTATTAGTACCTGTTTATGGTGCGTGTTACAGTCAGTATTCATTTTTATGGATTTCGATAAATTTCGTGATTTATTTTATTCGATAAAAATTCTATTCATTTTTAATATTTTTTTTCTTATAAATTACAAAATTAATAACAAACATTGTTATAGATACCTTAACTGAATGACGTATATAATATTTATTTGGATATAGGTTTGGACAGTACATTCGGTGGTTTGGAGGCAATCATAACTGGTCTCTGTGATGAATATCCGAATGTATTAAAGCGACACAGAGAATTGTTTGTTGCCGGTTTAGTAGCAGTTATTTACATACTATCATTGCCAACTACTACATACGTAAGAAACACAATTTTTATGTTATCACTTAATTATACTTATGAGTTATATTAATTTACCTACGTAAATGAGGAGTTATCATTATAGGTTTCGTACTTAATTTTGTCTACAGTATAAATTAATTATTCATGGATATTTATATCTCTGTAGTTCGTTAACAGTTTGCAAATACCAATAAAATGTGTATTATTAATACTGGGAAGATGTCTGTATAATATAATATATATTTTCGTATTGAGAAAAATAGTGTCACAAAAAAAAATAACTCTTTCCATTTGAAAGACATTCCTTACTTTATCAGTTATCACTCGTAATTTGGTGAGAGTCAAAAGTAATATACAGTTCTCAAAGTTTAAATTAAATTATATTCGGGAAAGAATGTTTTGAAAACCGCTGCACTGAACTCAGTCATGTTTTTAAATTACCAAAAATGATAAGCTGTTGCCTTTCCCATGTTTTCATAAAATGTAACATTTTGAACATTGAATTGGCTTATTAGGTGTCAATAAAAAATAACAACGCCAAACAAAATACCTTATCGGTAATTGATTTCATTTTTTTTTTGTAAACTGTTGCTATACCATAAATTTATAATATCAATATTTAATAATGATATTAAAATAATATACTGTTGATAGTTGCTCGTTAAAAATATTCAACAGTATATTGATTATTGATATTTATGAATAAGCTTGTTGTCAACTTTAATAATATGTATTTCAATAGACAGTATATTTTACATAATTTCAAGACTTTAAAGGCTACAATCTCACAGATCGTTAGTAAATATTTTATTTTGATATTACAAGGTAATGGATTCTTGTTTAAAGTCCTTTAAGAATGACAAACTGCATAATTTTTATATACCTACCCGAGTTTTCATTTCGTAGATATTTTTTAATTTTCAGTTTATTCGTATTCTTGGTGGAATTTGTATTTTTGAGCTGAAAATATGACTTCTACTTAGTGGGCTTAAATTCTATTATTCAAATGACGCGTTCAAACATTATATTATAATCTTGCACAAGAATCAAAAACAATGAACTGATTTTCAACGATGCTAATTTTAATTAAGTCAAATATAATTAACTATTTTTAACTAAAATATTTAATTAATTTTTGTTTTTATTTTTTTCAAACACTTAATAGACTAAATAAATTGTCCACCAAATCACAGTATTTAAATGATTGTAAATTAACAGCACAATGCAGATCAGCTATTCACTAGTTTACTAAAATTTAATTGCTTATTGTCAGCAAACATCAAACAATAGGGTATTTAGCGATTGAACCAATTAAAAATAAAAACTTTACGCGGTGCCAGAGTGGCTAAGTTAGTTATTGTTCGATTATTGTTTGATCTAATAGAATATTTCCTCATGCCAGCCATTTTAAGGATAACTTAATATATTTTGAAAATCTTTTCCATTCTTAATAATATCGTAATATTATGATGAAATACGATATTATCTTATATAATACTGGGACATTATATTTATTTATATGCTGATTTTATTTAATCTGTACTTAAAACATTTGGTATGATGATTTTAATGTCCGTAAACAATTTTAAGTTAGAAAATAAATTATACTCACTTATAATATTTAAAAATTATTTTTAATTGAATGTTAGTTTATCTGAAACTTATTATCACATTCTCATTATATTTAATATAATATATACTTGGGGACTAGATATTTATAATTTTCAGAATTGTGAATTTAATATTAAGCTAAGGACTTTATGGAGGAAAACAATTAATAATGGGTAGTCTTTATTTATTATGGTTCAATTTCACGCCGACCGATCGTTAATTGACCATTTGGAAAAAGGACTTAATAAGGAAAATGGTAAAGGGGTAGTTTCGTTTAGTTAATATAAATCGGTGGTAGTAGGTAAACCATAAAAGTGTGAATTTTATTACAGACACAATATTAGATGTATTAAATTCATAAAGCATTTTACTAAAGATACAATGATAATTGATAAGGACCACAACAAATCCATTAATAAGTTGTTATACGAATGTTCATCAAATGTTCTTACAAATTTAGTCATGGAAAATTCGGTAGCTTGTAAAGTGTATCACTTTCAAGCTATAATATGATCCCCATTAATCGAATGTACACATTGGTTGCAGTGTGTATATATGAATTTTATACTTAATAGTCAATTCGATCGTATAATGAATTGTGGAATAAAAATCCCCGGAAATAAATCTCCGAAAAAAACCCCCGACCAAGAACCCCGGGAAAAAATCCCGGACCCTAGAAAAAAAATCTACAGACTATAATTTCTCTCACACACTTGCAAATTATTGAAAAAATATTTTTTTAAACGATAATTAGTGTAATTACCAATATTATTAATATTTTATTACAAATTTATACTTATGGTGTAGTAATATGTACTTAAAATGTAGAAAATATTCAATTTGTATACCTAAGGATTGAAAATTGAAAATATTACGTTTCCTATAATATTTTGACGATAATGTAAATATGATAATATGATATTATTAGGAGGTATTTATTCAAGTTTTACTTTATATATAGATGATAGATATTTAAAAGGTTATAAAATAAAAATAAAAATAATTATCAAACAACAGTTAGGTAATGAATGTAGGTACTCAAAGTTAAAAATATAGCATATACAGATATTTTGAATACTCCACATAATACTAACAATAATAATAAAATTAATTTAAGTAGTCACAGTTCAAAACATACCATAAGAATATAGAAATATATTGAATGATATCGATGTACGTAAAATAGTACAAATAATTACCTTATATTATAGATTATTATTGGTATACACTTCATTACTACACCATACACGACAATAGGTAACATTGAAGTTCTTAATTTTTACATAGTATATAATATATTATCGTCCAAATGTTATGGGAAAAGTAAAAAAAAAAAATATTTTAGAAATTTAATTTTACAGAATTAATAATTGTACATAATATCGCAGTACAAACAAAATATTACTAGTATACAATGTGTATACTATACATATATAAATTATATATTTGTTATTAAATATTTATAATAATGATAATTAGTAATTGCACTAATTAGCGTTAAAAACAATATTTGTTAAATAATTTGAGAGAAATGTGTTTGTAAGAAAAATTGTAGTTTGGGGATTTTTTTCCCTTTGATTTTTTTCAATTACCTCTATTAAATAGTACGTATAATTATAAATTATTATTATTATAATTTTATAAATGGTATCTTATTATACGATTTGCCAAATCATTTTATTCAATTTGATGTTTTTCGTTAAAAATGTTAAATCAGTATATGCTGCAAGCAATCTGGAAATATTTGAAACTACTCATAACTTCTATGAAATATTTGACTTTAATGAAATTTGAAGGCACGCCTATTGAAAATAATAATTTTAAACACTTCACTACCAAATTCCATGAGTTAAGAGATGACTGGTGACCTTTAGATATTATATTGAACTGTATATAGTGCAATGTCTTACAGTGTAATGATTATTGCCGATTACAATAATTTAGGTAAGATTTAAGTCAATTGGCAATGTGTACATGGGTACGATCAACGGGCATCTGGTATATGTGATCAACTTGATACGTGACCACATTATTTGTACGACCATTTGAAGTACATTAATTTAGTAATTTACTAATTAATACACTTGTTGTAGATTTCGTATTTTTAATATTATGATGCTTTATAAGTTCAATACCATAAATATTATTGTATCTGAAATCAAATGAAAAAATAAAATAGTTGCAACGTACTTATTATCTAGTACCTATAATATATTACTCTTAGTAGACATTCTTAATAATAAAAATAATCGTCGATTATTATATTGTTATTTCTTTATTAAACTACTGATGACGCCTAGTTTTTTTCACTTTTAAATATTATACATTTGCCACGACTGAACACCCGTGATTAATATTGACTGTGCCTATATCTACTATATTACATTCGGAGCCGGATTCATAGGTGCAAAAGAAGATTTTGAAGCAGGGCGGTATCTTTCACATATTCATATTTATTATACATGAAATATATTTTGTTGTTTTAATGGCTCCTCGGGTTACCAAGTATTTGTTTCTTCGGGGCTGCTCCGACCATCCCCAATCTGATTTCGTATGCATTCGACGCAATTTGTTTGTTATCAATGATCAAACTTCATAATTAAATGAACAATATTTTCTATCAATAGACAACATTATCATCGTATAACATTTAAGATAAATGTTCCTTTTTAGAGCTGTGTGTAATGTGTATTATTAAATAAACAAGCGAACAAAACTATGTACTCAAAATATTTTTGTTGTTGAGCACACAACAATTAAGATTTATATGCGATTCCGGATTCAACCGAAAGCTGTGCAACACGTTACGCCATCGTTTGAAATGTTCTACGAAGTTCTCTTCTTTTCGTACTTAAGGTGGCGCTTCTGCGGTATAAGAGATCTCGGCACGAAAATACATTTAAATACTCGAGAAATGACGACGACGGAAACGTATTCTATTGTACATTTATGAGCTTTTATCAATACGGCAACCCTATTGATTATTCGTCTTCCTGTTTACCTTTAACGGGTACCCATCATAGACTACTCTATTATACCCTGCACACTACATTATTATATAATATACCCTCGGGTCTCGGTGATTTCAAGGATTATTACTTATTTACAACCGAAGTCTCGAAGGATTTCTGGTTTCGACGAGTGCAGGTTGTAAGTGTTCAGCCCCCGGGGGAGTCCGTGGCAGTCGTCAATTATCATTATATATTGGTATTTTAAAAAGGTGTTGTTCGATCGCTCAAGCATATACAATAACGTACATATATATATGTATATCGATATCACGTACGATATGTGTATAGGAACATTCAGACCGATCTCGTCCGAAAACCATTTGCCCGCTCTAATCGTCCGTTTATTTTGGCGGGTCCTGGGTTTGGGGAGGGGGAGGCACCGCTGCCATACGCGTTATATGCGCTTAAGGACTTTGCGAGGAACGCGAATGCTTTTAACGGAGAAGTGGCGAGAGCAATAAAACGAATGTCGTGTATCTCGCGGCCGTCGGGCCACCGCCGCCGAAAGATCGGGCAGCTCCCTGCTCGTTGAATCCAATTTGATAGGTCAAAAGTTAGTGGCGGTCGGTCATTAATTTCCACCGAACGCGTATAGTCGACCGATTCGCTAATGGCCGGCATTAGATATATATGCGCTCCTGCTGAATGCTTAATATATAATACGGTGTCGAGCACACACTCGCACACACCGAGTATAACATAATATAATGCGTGGCAGGACTCAACTGCTACTGCTCCTGCAGGAGGGGATTGCAGGACGCACGTGATTTGTGCCGTCGTCGGTGCCACAAGTGCACCGAGGACGCAATATAATATTATTGTTATTATTATTTTATAACGTGTGTGAAACGTTTATATTCAACACACTGTATACGAGTATTATATATATTAAACGGTGGTAGGTTTTGGTCGTGTGGGTGGTGATAGGGGGGGGGGGCGGTGGGTAGACTATAATGACGATAAAGTATAATTACGTACCACTAATACTTATATCGATGTAGGTACTTATAAACAATATTATTATGATGTGCTTTTTCCAGGATCCTTTGGTCCTGAAAAACAGTCACAAAATGTTCACGGTTGAACGTGAGTCTGAAGTTGTTTTTTACCTTGCAGTTAACGTCATAAAATATTCGGCATGACGTTTATTGTTGTTTTTTTTTTTAACGTTCTTAGAATTGTATAATGTGAACATTTAGTTTTACCGTTTTTCAAAAATATATTGCAAAACGACACGTTATTACGTGTACACATACTTTGTTTCGAATTTTTGAACTCGAGGTGCCAATAATAATTTACTGTTACAAAAGGATATTGTGTAGTTAACGTTTTTTTGAACTTTGACGTACCTATCTAATAAAAACATTTACGCAGTACAATACAATTACAATTATTAGGTACCTACCTATTAGATTTCACTCTAAGAATTAAAAACTTAAACACTGATGATTTAGGGAAATTTTATTACTGAATTTCAATATAGAAAATCATTGTCTCGAAAATAATGACGTATAAAACAAAATTAATGAATTAATAATAAAAGTACACGAATAAAACAATATTGTTCGAATCAGATAGGTAAGAAACCGAACAAATTTAATTCGGACGATTCTTAGTATTCGTGGTTATTTCTGGAAAATTGTGTTGTTAGAGACGGAATTCCGTTTTAATTAAGATCCACTGTAAACCGTTTAATTTAATAATAATTAGTTCTTAATTCAGAAGATTATAATATCATCGACGTGCCTCATATAAAAACATGTTTCAGTACGAATTTAATTTTCTACTTCGGTCTACTTGAGGTTGTTTCAATGTTTAAACCCGAAAGTCGGAAGAATTTAATTGAAAACAATAATTAGAAAACTGTTTATTTTTTTCAAGAGTGTTTCTTCTAACTATAATGCGCGTTATCGTGACCGTCCAGTGACACAAAATATTACAATTCAGATGTTTTGAGTAAACGTCATTAATTAACATTCAAAATACAATTATATTGTTATAATTTATGTATAATATCATTGTCGTGCATAAATATAAATATGCGAATAATAATAATAATAATAACGTGACATTAACGTTATCACACTTGTAAATACTGTAAGGTTTATTTAATCACGTCGCTGAACTTATTTGGACTGGGAATCGCCATACTGTTCGTTGTGTTGTCGAGGCAGCAGATGTCTATCGGGTGTACGGGGTGGATCGGTTTGCAAACGATAAATAACTAATTTTCCGAGCTACTTTCTTAGTTTTTTAGTAGGAATTAATATTTTGTGTTTTGGTTGCCATATTGGTCAATCGGGCAGATCAGGTTTAAAAAATAGAATTTCAGCCTAACAAGCTGACCGAGTTGCACTTATAACCGTTCATCGGCGTATCCACAATCAAAATAAAAAATGAAATAAAAACAAAAGATATTATTCACAAGGAGTATGCACTCATGTCGGTTACCGCAGTCCACCACAGGTGGTTTGCTTACCTGATAATATACTGTTCGCATCGTCACGATAGCGGGTCTCTTGTACGCAGAGAGTTGGTATTATTTTAACGGGTGACAAAGTGCACGGGATTAACTAGTTTATGTATAAATGTATAATAATATCATTGTCGTGCATAAAATATATCTATATGTGAATAATAATAATAACGTGATATTAATATTATCGTACTTGTAATATTATATATTATAGGGTGGAGTTTATTTAATCACATTGCTGAACGTATTCGGACCGGGAATCGCCATACTGTTCGTTGTGTTTGTCGAGGCAGCAGCTGTCTGTTGGGTGTACGGGGTGGACCGGTTCGCAAACGATATCGAAATGATGATCGGACACAGGCCTGGTCTGTTCTGGAGATTGTGTTGGTGCTACATAAGTCCCGCGTTTTTGTTGGTAAGTCCATCACACCAATGGGTAGGTACAGTTTGATACATTTTCCGTTCGTGAAATTTTAATTTTCAATCGCTTTATAGATGTTTGGCTGTCCGATTATTTATTTATTTATTTTATTTTTATTAATTTTTCAAGAACATGTTCGTGTGGCGGCCCACGGGCTTACAATTTGAAATATACATTTTTTAAGTAGATCATATAAATTAAATAATAATTATTTGTAGTATACATTTCTCACATAACTAGAATATTAATATAGATATTTTCTTTTTTTTTGTATATAAAATATGATATTATAATTTAGTATTATGCAAACATTGTATAGTTAAATAATACAATATAATATTATAATAAAAACTAAATTTAACAATTACTAAAATTGTCCAGCTAATATAATAAGTAATGCCGTATCCAATATATTTGTGAAAACTCTGTCTATATTTTGTTCTTGTAACTAGCCAAAGTGAATTTTTTTTTTTAATTTTTAAAGAGTTGCTAACTTAAGCAACTTAAATTTCTTAAGGTGATATATTGTAAAATTTTGGACCAATATATAAGTATGTAGATATTGTAGATTGTGTTAATTTTTTGAGCATTGTAGGTACTTTGATATTAAATATTTGTCTAGTATTATGTCTTTGTTCATGATAATATAAGAGTTCCATCGTGTTCATTATAAATTCGTTTGAATCACGCAGGTTTATTAAATTGTTTAACTGCTGCACGAAACTCTTTCCTACGAAAATGTTTCAAATCGTTATTCGTCGGGAGTTCACTTATTTTAATGTTATTTTTCTTTAAATTCAAATTCGACTGATTAATTTTGGGATTTGTTAACTATTAAAATCGACTTAACAAATTTACTATCACAATAATATAATGCAAGGGGTTGTTCGCTCTTTACGTTCATTTAAAATTTAATAGTGCCATAGTGGGTTAACATGGTCCCTTAAACACTATTTAATGGCTCGTGATTGATTTATTGCATTTTTTTTTAAAACATCGAATTTTGTCAATGATGATTTGTATGTAAATTATATTAAAAGTAGAAGAAAGTCATCGAAAATTAATCTGTTGATTTCTATTGAAGTGAACATTTCACTGGGTTAGATTTATTTCGGAATTAAATTTGTTTAATAGTAGTATATACCACCATTAAGAAAATGTAGTTTGCCTATTTCAATGGATAAAGTTATGTAATTAATTGGTGTGTTGTTGTTGAAATTTTAACACTTACGTTAACAAATCATTAATGCACATTGATATAACTTCTTTAATTTCATAGCTATATGTGTATTCAAAAAACAGATCCATTTCTTATAAGTGTACCCTATATTCACTTTATTTACTTTTTTTTTAAATGAATAAAAAATAGCGATTAGGTTAAGCATTTATTTTATTCTTAAACTTGAATATCTTAAGTGTCACAAAAAGTTTAAATTAAATACCATTGGGATATTATTCTATATAATATTAATTGGGTTTTAAGATGTTTGTATTCCTTATGAATAAAATTACAATATCATTTATTCTTAAAATCTAACAGTAAAAAAAAACTATTTTATGAAACTATAGGTTTATTCATTTTCAGATAATTTTTGTGTTCTCAATATTGGGATACAAAGACATGATGGCTGGAGGTTCGTATGTTTACCCGGATTGGAGTATTAATTTGGGATGGTTGATGACTGCCTCTTCGATCAGTTGCATACCTGCTTACTTCATTTACAAGGTGTGCAAGACACCGGGTTCATTCATGCAGGTTCGTTATTTAATTTTTCTTCACCCAGTAAATATTTAAAATGATTTATTGATATTTAAATAATATGGCTAATGATTAAATTGTATTATCCTAAAATTAATATTTGTAAACTATATATTATATGCTATAATAAATATTTGGTTACAATTTCAAGTCTCTAAGGGTATTCGTTTTTATATTTGAAAAAAACAAAATCGAATTCGATGAAAACTGGTTTTGTGTAAACATTTCAATTTTCTCGTAGGTACATAATGTTTTTTTTTTGTTTTCCCGAACATTTTGCTTAGTAGGTACTAGGAAATGTATACTTTCGATTCTCCCTAAGTATAAACTATATCCAATTAGTTACCAGAAGGCAGAAACCGCCATCGAAATTAAACGTCAAGGTTGAGACTAGGTTTATGTCACTATTATTTATTACTTGGTATGTCTATCGTTTATACTGCCAGATAAATCTCGTAATTATTTCACTATAAACGATTTTTATTTTCTACCGTGTGAACAATTTTTACTTTTTATTGTATAAGCAGTTTTTACTTTCTACTGTGTCTGGATTTTTTAACGTCACGCTATAGCCGTTATTGACATTAATTGTTCATTATGTTATTATGAAGTAGATGCTAATTTAGTAATAAACGTTCAAGGAATATGTATTGGTCATCGAATTTTTTCTTCTGAATTAGATTTACCTCGTAGGTTTACCGACGGCAGCAACACCGACAATGATAATAATAATAATCGTATATCATTATATTAATAATCGAATAAATCTGTGTTTCCGTTGACTCTTTCAGAGAATCAGATTGGCCATGAAACCGGAAGACCCGGAACCGGATGACCGGGGCATCGTGGCAATCGCGTCGGCCGTGCACAGCGGAGGTAGCGGCGGGGGCGGCGGCGGCACGCACGTCTGATTGGAATGGCTCGTCTGACCCGGCCGACCAAGACAACAACAACAACAACAACAACAACAACAACAACAACAACAACAACAACAACAATACCAACAATAATAGCAAAAAGACAACAGCGGAAAAAGTCGCTGCCAAACGAATGCGACGACAAGTCGGGTTATTTCTGTCGCATATAATAATAATATATATTACATAAAATATGTATAAACGGTTCTCGACGTCCGCCACCGGAATTATACCGGATATCGATCGTTCCGTACGGCACGATACGGAAGATGTTATCACAGTAATCGTATAATATCGCCACGACCGTTGAAAAATATGACGACAACGACGACGGCAAACGAAGATGAGTCGTGTGCTCACGTGTAGTACCTGTCTACGTCAAACAGGTTGCTGTCCACCGTGTACGTAGTGTAGTACTATATCATAATATAGCAGCTAGTGCCCTAAATAGTATTATTAATAAAATATAGTATTAGGCATTAATAAATAATATTAGGTATTAAGAAAATAGTGTTTTATTGATGTAACGTCATAGACTGTGTCGAACGGTTTTAGTACCCGCGATTTAGGTGGTTAGTGTTTTAGGTATAATGTGTCCACGATAGACACATAATTTAGCAGTGTGAGATAATAATATTATAATAATCATCCGTCGACGAGACGAGATGCGAGTTAATGTAGTGCGGATAATAATATGATGTCTGATCATATTTTTAGGCAACTAAGAGTGCAGCAGACATACTGTGTAGTTCTAGTGCGTTTTTATTATATAACTAAATACAAAATAATATTATCAAAATATAATTATTAATTATTTATTATAGAAGATAGTCGTATAGATACTATATATACTATATTATATTATAATGTTAATAACAAAATATTATATAACTATTTTAAGTCTTACGAAACAAAATGTTCTGATCAAATCATATTATTATACCATCTGACGTGTTGTACAAACGAGTATAATATTAATAATAGTTTATGTGTAATATTATTTTTTAATCTTTGTGATGTATAATTTTTTACGTAATTTATCGAGCGTTAGACAATGAATATTATAATCGTAATCGTAATCGTTTAGTCCAGGTCACTATATTTATTATTATACCTGTAGGAGTGTTAATACTTTGTATGATTATATATGATCATATTATGGTTTTTTATATTTTGGTCGTCAAACGGCGGTAACAAGTATAATGTTTTCTAGTCATAAATTTATCGTATTATAGTCACGTGTGTACACATTTACTGCTGCATTTTGACTATAATAACGTGTGTATTAGTCTTTTCCATAATATCGTAGAATACGTTTTTTAATGACGTCTTAAACAGACATTATTAGGTCCAAACCGAAAGTTACCGTGTAGTAAAAGAGCTTTGTAAAATCGTGTCCGTAAAATCGAAAATTCTCTCGACAGTGTCGTTCGTGAAGAAGAAGATATATTAGTATATTACATATTTATCAATGATTCGTTTTGGACACGATATAATTTGATATAATTTATTATTGAATACCCACTTCAGATATTATTATAAAGTATAAAACATACCCGAGTTTACATTTCTTTAATAATATTACTATCGTTATTGCGACATACAACAGGTTGCAATGTGTGTGTATTTACTTAAATGTTGTAATATTGTACGTTTGTGGTCTGACACTACCAAACATAATATTTTAACATATACCTACTACTATTATTTTTATTAATATTATGTTAAGCATAACCACCAAATAAATATATTATTAATATATTATTTTACATCAATAAATTGTTCAATAAATATTAAATCATATCGGGTACAACCTAAACGAATGTGCCATTATCTAGTCTTTTTCACAATACCCAGTCGAATCGCATTTCTCCAGTCAGTAGGACAGAATTATATCACTTGTGGATTAAAACTACTATAATAGTCACCCTGTTTTGAGTTGAAATTTTTTCCCACAAAAGGTAAACAATTATTAAACTTATTTACACCATGCTCTCAGATAGTTCTAGAATTTGTTTTAATTTATCTTCTTATGTAAGATTTTAATTTGGTAATGTTACAACATTTTGATCGTCTTATAATTATATAAATTTATAAATATATTAATGTAGTACTTAAGTAATTATATTACTAATAATAATAATTGATACTCATTAAATTATGTTATTATGGTCTGACACTTAATATTTATTATAACATAACTATTATAATTATTATTATTATTAATAAATATTATATTAAAAATAATTTCATCATATCGCCAAGTCAATGAATATTTTACTGCTTGGTAATAGCTTGTAAACAATTATAACCGATTGCTAAAAATAATAAAATAAATATTGTGTTTTCAAAATGTCTTCTTATGAAAATCTTTCTCAATTCCTTGATATTCTTTGGTTGTCTTTCGTATGAAAAAAAGATACTCTAAGAATCTATTTGGTAGTAAATTAGCTACTTTTATAGTTTCTACTCTGATAAACTAAATGGATTTTTGAAATGAAAAATACCAATAATAAAATGATTTATAAATATTTTTTAAAATAAATTCATACATAAATTTATATTATCCACTACTCGTTTTATACTTATTTTAACAATACAATTTGGTACATAGAAAATTTTTAAATTTTAAACAAGAAAGTAAATAAATTGGTTTCACAACTCATGTTACTCGAAGGCCAATTTTTAGACAATTAAAATCTAGCGAGCATGGAAATCAAAAAAAAGGGTCATTCAACATTTACATTTTCATTGGTGTTAAATAGATTTTAGAGTATAGACGATAAATTTTAAAATTGTATCATGTATACTTTGAAAATGTAGCCAGATAGAAAAGTCAAGCGGGCCTCGAATTTAAGCCTCTGGCCTAAATTAATAAAAAAATGGATTATTATAGAATCTAGTTGCTGTTCATACATATAAATAAGTTATAAGTGACTTATAACTTATAATATAATTTTAGTTTTCAAAAATATTTTCGTCATTTGATTTGTTTTTATAATGTTATAATCAATACGACTTGTTAAACAAATCAAGTAAGTACAGGTAATTTATGATAATTGTATGATTTTACTAAATATAATATTACTTAGTATAATGTTAAGCAACATAATAATAGACAATTTAAATTATATATATTTTTTATATTCTGAGTGATATCTACAAATATAACAACTAACAAGTTTATACTAGTCATAAGATTATGGTTTTTTTTAAATGTTATTCGATTTTTATATGCTTACACATTTGTTTGTATAATAATTATAACAAAACATTTTGGAACTTATCGTGTAGAACAACTTTTCCCAAAGTGTGTTCCGCGGAACCTTAGGGTTCCGTGGGACAATGTCAAGGGTTCCGTTAGATGTATGAGATTATTGAGAAAATTATGTTTATTTAATGTTTGTTGTTTAAAAAATGTTTGATTGAAATTTTTTTTTTAAACTAAGTTTAATAATGAAAAGTCATTAACAGTATCACTAAAATATTATTTGGACTTGAGAGTTTAAGGAATTGATTTTCCTTTTTTAATTTACAAAAATTGTAGTTGAGTTGGATTAGACATTAGGGTTCCGCGAAACACAAATAATTTTTTAAGGGTGCCGTGGTCGTAAAAGTTTGAGAACCTCTGGTGTAGAATATCTGTAAAGATCAAATCTATCCACATGATACTAACATTCAATAAAAACATTTTAAGGTGTGCATTGTCCACATTTATAAAATTTCCAAAAGTATAATGTCCATTTATAAAATAATAAAATATCAGATATTATAATACTTATAGCTATATATATCATGTGTACCTATTTCATCTATAATCTTACTGTGATTTAATTATAATAATATTTGGTTATTAGTTGTTGTGAAGATAATCCTAATGTATTTTTGACATTGTTTGTATGATTAATATAAAAACTACTCAGAAAGACATTTGTTTTATGGACATTACAGAAAGGCTGGCGTTTTAGAAGTGGATAATATTTAAAAAGGGTAAACCCTTGGACATTCATTCTTGACGTATATTAATTTTTCAACGATATAATTTGCTAAACACAGCCAAAGTTGTTTTAATTGATCATTTTATTTTGACACTCTATCAGCACAATAAAATAGAATAATACAAATAAAACATTATAATTACTTAAGCATTTAGGCGGGTTCGGATAACTCTTCTCGGTTTTATTAGAACGAAATACGACTAAGATACTAAATAATATAACCAGTGGAGTACTCTATCAGCACACGGTGCATTTAACACGAAGTTGGTAAATGCTTCGTTTTTGTGAGAAAATTTCAATAGATGGCAGGTCCCTATGTACGCACAAATATTGTTGATAATATTGATTTAATTGTATTACTTAATAATATTGTCATGGACTTGTCACGTAATGACATTTTCTAGATTGCTTGTTCTGCTTAACCAAGGGCCACAGCAAAATACACATGATAAATATCTTTGTCGACACACTGGTACATTTTCTAAAGATTACTTTTAAAACAAAACTAATATGATCGACTGAAAAATATTTGTGCTGGGAAATTAATTACGCTTCTTTTAATAATATTTTCTTAGAAATACTATAAATACGTTATATACATAATATTTTAAGAGGATGCCAGAGCGCTGTTTGTTTTTCCTTACTGGCCCACGAGCAACAAAGGCAAAACTCATTTACGCAGAATATTTTTTTGTATGTTTTTAAATAATCTTAGAGTTAAGTCACACATTACAAAAACGATAGATAACAATATTTTTTGAGGGAATGACATATCGATTTGTCTAAATATTTGCCACACAAAAAAATTAAACATCATTTAAATTTAGGTGCATTTATTTTTTATTTTGAAAGTCGAATATAAAGTCAAATAACAATAAAATATAAAACTGATATGTCATGGTCTCAAAAATATTATCTTTTATAATTTTTGTGACAGGTGATAAATGATTTTTGTTAAAAGCGTTTTATCTATGTTATTAGTGGGTCTGGGAGAAAAAACAAATATAGCACTGACATCAGCTTAGTAATATTTTATAAGTAACCATAGCAGATATTTCAAACAAAAACCAATTTCTTCAAATAAAATCTTCAAAGTATGTGAGGTACAAAACTACTTACAAATTCAAAAAAAAATATTAAAAAAAAGTTTTTTTAGATTCCTAGATATTTACGTGTATTTTGCATGTACAAGTGTACAACGGATAACGGACGTGCCACGGGCTTTTATAATAATATTTAAACCTGAATAGCTAAATTTGAAATCGAACAACATAATTGCAGGATAATATTTTGATTTTTGACCCAGTCGTCGTTTTTATGTTTACATTGTGCAAAACAGAAATATTATGCAGTTGACACATTTGTAACTTAAGATTAGAATAATACCAACATAGTTTTACCTATGTCAAAATGCCTAATTCATAACTAAAACTGCAAAAAGGTAAACAAATCAATTGACAAGGTCAACACAAATGGAACAAAAATGTATAACGAACGTACATAATATTCTGACGTGTAGCCCGTGTAGGTTGACAATAATACATTTCAATTAATATTTAATGTAGTTAAAATATAAATAGATGTGCATTATACTTATATTACTTAATATATTCAATTTAATTAATCTCGACAATTTTAGTGTATCAATACAAGTCTTACAATTGTATTACTTTAGAAATAATAATAAATCATTGGTTTACGAGTTGAATATGAACCAATTTTCGTCATAAATATTAAATAATTTTCAATAAGTCATAAAATTTCAAGAGGTAATATATTGACATAATATTATTTTATACTAAAGTTTTGTAGAAAGTATAGCATTACTACAGCTTGATGGCTTCACGATATTAATTTAAAATTGGTTAAATATTTATAAAAAAAAACGACTCCAGAAAATATACAAATTTAATACCACTCAACTGTATCAAAAAAGGAAACTAAATACTTGGAAAATGGTTATTATTTTATTAATAACTCTTCTGGAAGACTGAATTCAAAATGTCATGTCGTCGATAATGCTATAGTCGTCGAAAAGATGGATACTCATGTAAAGATAATGATATCGTTTTATGTATCGCGTTTTCCTTGATAATATTTAGAATCATATTATTATCAGGAGAAAAAAAATTTTTTATCTGGTGCTTAAATAAAATAATTTCAATTTTTATTTTAATATTTTATAATTTTAATTCAATCCAATGATAAATAATCATGATACACAAAAAAAGGATTATGAGGTTATAATCGTCTGTAGTCTTCTAAGGATATTTTCCTAATT